TTTAACAGATAAATATTAAAATATTTTATAATTTGTTTGTAATGTGACAGTTTTTACGTGAAGCAGTAAAAGCTGAATTGCTCTTGCAGAGTCGTTGAGTCTTCAGCTTCAGCTTCGCCTATTTGTCTCAAATTGCAGTGCTGTCATCTCGTAAGTTTTTTTTATGCGAGGAAATGAAAACTTTTTACTAATTTCAAGAATTTTTCTTTCAGAAATGACACAAAATAAGATTTTTCTGAAGTGCGAGAAAACATAGCTTGAAGCCATTCATAAAGTACCGAACCAAGTTGAGGAAATATTGTCCAAAACGTGAAACTCGTAATTATGAAATTGTAATTAAAATTTAAAAAGTAATATTAAATATTTAATGCAACCAACAACTGTGCAAACTAAAGATCTGCTTTTACTTTAGCTCTTGCTGACTGCAGAAACCTTTCACGTAAGTTGAAGTAAATGTAGATATATGAGTATTTCGGTAAGTACTTTTGTTTAACTCTATTTGTGCTCGTTTGCTGGCAGGAACAACTGCTGAAGAGTTTAATCATTAAGCACGTACCGAATACATGCACTTACTCATGCTACTGTGATGGGTCGTCTGTAGCGCTCGATTTGGCAGAAGTTCTTTAAGTAATGTTAGTGATGGAGTTTATCTTAGTAGCGAAATATCCGACTATTGCTTGTTAGTGTTGTGAGTTTAATGGCTTCCTATTACAACTTTCTTTAGTAATACTTCCTTAACTTTTCCTCTTTCACTTTTACTTTGACTGTTCCTTACATTATAATGAATGGTTCTTGCTTTTATTACCATTATCATTCGTTCTTGTCTATTGCTATTTGTTTGCTTTTCTATCTTTTTCTCTTCTCCTCATTTTAAGCAATTTTTATGGTAATTTAACATTTTTGCACATATTTTCTCACATAAATTTAGCGCAAGGTCACGCACAGTTGATTTACGTTAAATATTTTTATGTGTCAAGTTCCTGACGTTACTTTGTGTTTGAGTTTGGAATCCAACTTGAGTCTGAGTTTATGGAAAAGTTGAGATCTTTAAGCTTAACACAAACGTAATCTGATTAAATTATGCAGAAAACATGTAGCGACACACATGCGAATGAATGAATTCGCGTAGTACCGAAAAACGTATTTAAAGTTAATTAACATAAGTGCTTTCAAGCTTTCAACTGAAAAAAACATTTAATTTTAAATAACCGAAATAAATTTTAACAATGAGTATAAAAAAATATATTATAATCTTCAAAATTCATAGAAAAATAAAAAGAATCGTTTTTTATCACAAGAACGCACCCACTTTACTACCTGTAATTTTTATAATAGATTGTACTACGTACTCTACCCACATCCGATGAGACTTTTCCAAAATAGTTTTTTATTATTTCATTATTTTAATTTTTTATTCTTGTTTTTTTAAATAATTTTTCCTCTTTCTTCTTCTTCTGCTTCGGACTTTTCGAATCCCAAATATTTTTTATACTTCACGACTGCAAATGCAATTCATATGTCGGTCGATGTGTTTTGGATGACTGAGTCGATATCAAAACTATTTTCTTTTACTATATTGTCAATTTCAAGCGAAAGAAAATCTAAAAGTTGCACCAGCCTAATAGTCTTATCCCAAAAGCCTGATAGTCTTTTCATTTACCCAAAAGTGGTCAAGTTTACTACAAATCATTATTGCAAAAATACTTTTATTTTATTTTTAAAAATATTTAAGAATAAAGTAAAAAAATAAAACAATTTCATCTAAATAAGCATATCTAATCACAAACATGAATTTTCTTTTGTCTTCGAATGCCAACAATCATTTATATGATTTTCAATTGAGATAAGTCATGCAAGAAACTAATTTACATAAATAAACTCTTAATAATATTATTAAGGAATACTTAGTATTGAAAATAATTTGAATCAACATTTGTTAAAAGGATTCATTATAATAAGGGCCATAATAATAAGGAATAATAAAACATGCAACAACAATTTGTAAGAGCATATCACAGCATCTTTTATATTATATCATGTCAATTCAAATATGCGATATGAAGTGCTGTGTAAAAATGTTAGAGATATTAAATTTAAGTCTTATACAGAAATAACTTTCATATTGTACTACAAATCTACTTTGTCATGTACTATAATGCTGTACAATAATTTTTTGCAAACAGTGGGTTAGTACAAAAAACACTTTTAGTGTATAATATTACTAAAGTTATTATACAAATCATGAAAATGGTTAATTATGTTCCTTCCTTTATGGTCGACAATTAGAGATTGCTTCCCTTAAATTATAGTTTGAGGAACAAAAACAAATAACACAGATCTATGCCATATAAGTGCAGTACTTAAAGGATTACATTCGTTGAGTCTTCCGCTAAAGCTCTTTTAAGAGCGGTCTACCCTGACTACCAGATTTATGACGCTAGGACAGAAAACATCTAGTAAGGCTTTTTTAATATTGGTGCGCAACCTGCATTCAAGATGTTATTGTGTTGGGAGACAATACAGGTAAGTCAGCGCAGTTGTGAATTGTAGTTGGACTCTTACTTATATCCTAACCGACACAGAAGTAAGTTTTCTACCATTAGCATGCGTATTAGTATCATAGCATTTAATAGGCTTACTTATCACGTTGCAATTTCTGAGCAGATTTTTAAGTTAAAAATTGTAGTTAGTTTGAACATTGAATGTGCAAAGATACAGCTACTAGTAGAACCACTAGTTACACTATGCAACACACTGTTCAGAAATAGATTTTTGTTCTTCAATATTATTTCTTTCAATTATACTAAAACTTCTTTTTAAACTTTTCTAAACTTTCTGATAATACCACACATTTTTTATAAAATTATTTATTAAGAACTTTAGTTTAACTATTACGTCTTTATTAAAGCCAAAAGTCTTTCCTCTAAGTATTTTTTAAAGTCTGCATGCAAGTAGTGCTATTAATATTATTTCACTATCTTGATAATACTATTTTTGCAATACTCATTCGATTCTCTTCTTTTTCAATTGAGTTCATTATGTGACTGTTACAATTAGTCTTTATTAGTCTTTATTAAATGGTCAGTTTAAGATGTATTTGTCTACCGAAATATATTACGAGTATAGTTTTGAAGTCATGTAGAATCCATCCTCACACATTGTTATAATAAAATATATCCTAACTTTTTTCATGTGATAACCAAACCTGGAGTCTGATTTACTTAGAACTCAAGACATCAGTTATGCAGCATATGAAAGAAACACTTTACATATGTTGAACTTTTCTTTTTCCTCTTCGTAGAATGCAATTTACTTTTAAGTACAAAAATTTCTGTTCATTTAAGAAAATAAGAAGTACTTCAAAAACTTATATTAATTTTCTTTATATAAGTGAATTTCTCAACTTACAGTTAAGCCGATTAAATATGCAATATGCCATATGAAGTAAGTAGCTAAATAAGCATAATTGAACTGTAACAAAAGCAGCTCAACTCTCTATTGAAATCGTAACATTTGCCTTAGTAAACAAATAATTAATTTTCAACATCTGTGCATTTGTTTCGGAAAGGATACTGAAAAATTCATTACACAAATTCTACTGAAATACTTTATGTTTGAATTGCTAATTCAATGATTTTTGTTACTATATCTGTTAGTTTTCTTAACAACAAATGCTCTTAAATATTTATTTAATTTCACTTAAGAAGTTTAATATTTATTTAAGAAATAAGAGTGAACCAAGTGTTTATATTTAAAATTTCTAACATTGAAAAAACAAAAGTTTAGCTCTGTTAATCACACTAATAAATTTGTTACTCATACGCAATGTGGAACCGCTTTTTAAATTAGAAAATTATTCGACAACATTTAAACTCAATTTTAATTAGAGTTCAATAGAACATAAAACATCTACTGAACATGTTATATATCAGACTCGCTACTATAAGTTTCTGTTGAAAATCAATATTGTAAACACTGATTATTCTGGCATGCGTTTGCACATTTGCAAACCAATTTGCATTTGGAAGTGCAACCTCAGTAAATCATTAGCAAATAAATTCTCATTCTCATTAATTTTCCAACAACTGAGCTTTAATATAGCACATGGCTTTTCTAATGAAACAGTTAATACTTCTATGGACAATCAGTATTCAATGATCACATAAGTACACTAAGAATTACCAAATCAAATTCCATTTGTTATGTGAACAATTGGCAAAGATTTATGTATCTGCAACCTAATTCAATATTGGGCATTTACTGCCATGTTTGGACTGAAATAATCAAAGAAAATCTCAAATGGAAATTGTATCTGAGCTAATTAAATTGAACTATTACTAATGATTAATAATTAAATTCTATTGGTTTCTGCTATATGATACTTTAATGAAACATTATTAAAATGTTCAATTGTTTATTTTAAAATGAATAAAATTCAATTGGAGTAGATTAATATATGCCGAACTCTTATACATTTCTCAAAATAATTACTACTGAAATAATGTAATATAAGCCAGTTACAAGTCTTTGAATTAAAATTAAATTGAATTCAAATTAAATTAATTTCATACTATATGCTGAAATTCAGTAACAGTTATTTAAACTGAAATTATTATACAAAATTACAGAGAATCAAGTTTCAAAAGCTTTTTTTAGAGAACTTTTTAGTAATAAATACTATAAACAAAAAATTGAACTTATTTTTGAAATAATCATTTTAATATAAGAAAACC